ACAGAGAGTAGCATATCAAAGATTTGTCTACCTAACAATAATGTACTGTCTATTCCTATCACAAAAATGACTAATTTGTTTGCACGGTTCAAATGACCATCAATGATGATTAAATCAGTTATTGCTATTGCTATTTATGAATTTCATAAATGCTCATAATATATGAAATATGAGAATACTTGGGATAGTTTGGTTAGGAGCATAATTAGTAGTTATGATTTTACTACATATAACTCCCTTCAGCTCATAATTTTAGAACTCTAAATAAATAAAACTTACAAAAATAAACATTTATTTACAAATGTGAAATTTATCCTGAGAATTTTTTCATATGCAGGATAACTGTTGCACAGAAAAGGCAATTACCAGTCTGTGACATAAAAACACACAATAAGAGTTAAACTAATGAAGTCATAATTAGAGGTCCATTTGCAGCCAAGAAAAGCAAGAGGACATTTAAGAAACCTTAAAACTGATTTACATGCAAGAAATTAAAACATATACAAATCCTTCAAACCCCAGTGTTCTTCCCTCTTAAACTTTTTCTGAATCAACATTATAGTCATATAACATTGCTTTATCAATGTTTTATCAGTGTTTGGGAAGTGGGTGAGAGAAAAAACACCTGAGAAAAACTCCATAATAGGGCGGAGGCTCAAGGAGGAAAAAAGAGGGGACTGCATCATGGTTAGGCATCACTTATTTTGAAATGTCATGAAAAACAGATCCAATTTGCTTCTGGCCTTACCTATGTTCAGTTTCTCTAGCAGGAGGAGCTGGCTAAACAAGCTGAACATTTTACAAAGGGAAAATGGTAAGTTAAAACAAAACCTAACACAATTAAAATGTAACCTGATTTTTACTTTATAATAGGACCTTAAAATCATCTACTTACAGAAATTAAACCAAATGGTTCAACAACGAATCAAACTGGTTTCTCAGAATATATCATCACAATCTCTTTACTCTATATGCTGTGAGCAGACAGTGATTATTTTGGAGGAGGAAAAATAAAGTGTGCAATTAGTAAGGCAGATGCTGAAAGCCAAGTGGCATGATGAGAAGAATGCCTCAAACAAATGCTATTTTGTTCCCACATCTACTGGCACCTATCCCCTAACATAGAAGACTAGAATAACCAAAGCCATTTTAACAGTAGTGTGCAGAACTGTCAGCTGACAAACAACATAAAAACAAGTCACGCTATGTTATCTGTGGTCATGTTCTTCAGGGTTAGTCCAGTAACTCAAGACTTTACATTCTTTTGTCTTTGTTTGTTTATTTTAATTAAACACGTAAAGGTTAATAAACAGACATAGTCCAAAGTTAGTAGGTTGGTATTATAACATTTATTAAAATAATGCTATGGGTTAATAGAAACAGCAAAGAACCAAAGAATTAAAATGCAAGCTATGTAAAATCCCAACTAAAACCCAGAAGTGTCTAATGTATTCATTCATTAGCTAACTAAAAGCCCAAAAAAGACAAGACACCCAGTATAATAAAGTACTGCAAAACAATTGGCAATTATCAGTTATCAAAATTGTGGATTTTGCATTTTGTATCCTTTTCTCAATCAAGAAAAAAATTCTTTTTGAATGTTATATAACATACATATAAAACAAGATAGAAAAATACATTATAAACTTGTAACAATGGCTGTAAATACATTATCTTACATGTTTCTCATAGGCAATAGGTTGGTTATGGTACATACATAGCATGAAAACTACTAAGGTAATAAAGAATAAGACAAAAAATACATGTCAGCTGTACGATAACATACAAGCGACACTCCCATCTACCCACACTAAAAAAATTACATAATACTGTCAGAAAAAAAGTCTTAAAAACTACGTACTTTAATAAGAAATAAATTCAATAAAGAATGATAATACTGAGAACCAAGGCATTCAGAGATTTCAAAAGTCATGCTTTTTTTTTTTTCAGTTGATCCAAAAATTGTCAACTAAGTTTTCAAAGTTTGTTCTGAGCCAACATTACTTACAAATGTCACACATTTATTATTCATACATTTACTTTCTTCCCCATAAAAGACCTTTGATAAACACCTAAAATGTCCAGGTATAACACAGTTGAGATGAAACTAGATCAAATACTGGTATTGTTTTTAACTATCACCTCAAGAGTGTCGCAAATTTATTCAACCAACCAAACAGTAAAAATCAAAATGGCACAGCATATATCGTAAATAAATCAAAAACAACTGTATGTGTAACAGAAAGACAAAGCAGTGGCACATTAAACCAAAACTAGCTGAGTACAAAAGGATGACTGTCTATTGCATAGTAAATAAACTTAAAACGGTTCCAAGGGAGACAAGATAATGGAGAGGTCACCATGAAGGTGCAGGCTGAGCTTCCTGCTGACCTTTACTGTGAAGCTGTGAAGGGATGGGAGAGGGAATGAGTTGATGAGCTGGAAGTCCTCGGCCACTTGGGATTTGCCACGTCTGGTACTGAACAGTTACTGATTATTTCCTCAAGTGTTTAGATGTAAGTTTTGCACACAAATTCTTTAAACTACAAAATTGAACTTCATGAGAAATTGGAAGCTTAAACTGAAATGTAGCTGAGTGTTTACATACACAATGATGCTAGTTTTTCACATTCTTTTAAAGTTAAAAAAGGGGGCAAAAAAGGTAAGGAAGGAGGAACAGTTACTAAAGCCAGCAGAGAGATGGACTACACAGCTATCTGGTATGATATAAAGAAGTCTGATTAAATTTAGGTTATTACAAAATACTGGTTTCCAGAATGAAAATCACAAAGATTTATTCTGTGAAAAAATCTGCTAGATATACTATTATCTCCAATTAAGAAAACATCCAATGCATTCCCCTTCTCCAAATAGAATGAAGCTCTAATTTTGACTGTAATTTTTGATCTGCTGTTCAGATCTTACATAATTTCTATCTCAGAATCCTTTGGGCTAACAATGAAGATTGTAATAACCCAAAGTACTCAATTATGATTTTTAAAAGAATGTTTTAAAACTAACTATTCAGACACTAGAAAAGTTATCAAATTTTTTCACAGTATCAGATTTGGCAAACTTGCTTCAAAATAATGTGGCATAAATCATAAAATTAAAACCATCAACTCATTTGTCTCCCCTCCTATCTTCATTCACATACTGGGCGACTGAGTAACATGCATTAACTTTTATTCCAAGGGAGGAGCTGATCTCACAAGACACTTGACTAAATGACCATGAAGGAAAATAAGGCACTTTCTTTTCTTTAGACTTATTCCAATACTTAAAAAATAAAAAAGAAAGACAAAAAGGCTCTTTTGGTCTTGTTTCTTGACAACCACCAGAAAAAATCATTTAATGAAATAAAGGGTTTCTTTGTTCTTTTTCTTTTTTTTTTATAACACTTGAAAGTATAAAATGCTACATTTCCAAAAATATATATATTTTTTTCTGCACCAGCACCCTTGTATAGTAAAAGTATCTACTTTTTGTTCATTTGTTTCAATGCACTACACTTTATCTACAATTCATTACATGTATACAGCAAATAGGCAAGCATGGCTTTTACATCCTTAATGATTTTTTTCTATACAGGGAGGTTTAAAAAAAATATTTGAACAGTTTGCCCAGTAATGTGACACATAATGCATGTACCTTGTTCTCATATATTTTTTTAAGGTGTAAAATAAAGTTTCAGTAATTTTTACTCAGATACTCATCTTTTTAAAAATAGTGTTGCAGATTTGTTCCTTGCATTACTTTTCAAAACTCCTTGTTAAGTTTTTCTCTCATGGCACACTTCTAATACTTCAAATTTTGGCAGGCAATATAAAAAAGGCTGCAACTTCTGCCCTTTGAGGGCACTGTAGTGACTAAACAGTTTATCAAATTTTGAATACTTTTTGAAATCACTTCACCAATGACATCCCTGACCAAAGGTTCATGCATGATGCATCATCACACAGTACATTCAGAGAGCTTTGACTTCGCTATGAGAAGAAAAGGATTCTGAGAAGTCTCTCACAGTAACTGCCTCTGTCATCAAGTAGTTAAGGGCCACATCTCCCTTCTTAAGAGAGGCCTTCTTACCGTTCGCTTGGGGGGGGATACTGAGAGATGATCAGTGCTGTGGGATGAGCTGGGCCTTCTTGCTTTACTACTACTTAGTGCAGGTGCTAGAACCGCTTTCACCCAAATAGAAAAAGAAAAAAAAGCTGTGTTGGAGAACAACAATTTCTTTGTCTTTTGTTTGGTTAGATGGTAAGACGAACGGACAAGTGCCTCAGCTCGCTGCACTGACGACAGGCAAGCAAAGGCGATTACCAGTTAACTGATCAGCAGGCAGGCATGGTCAGGTCATCATTGGGTGAAGAGTTCAGAGGTCAGAAGGTCATAGGTTAGTTGCCGGTGGCGGCTGGGTGGTTAGAAACAAAAAACAAAACAAAAAAAGAAAAGAAAAGATAGAGAAGAGATTAGTTTCAGCTAGTGACGGCTTAATGACAACATGAAAAACTAATCACAACTAATAAAAAAAGCATGTTTAATTCTGACAAACTGATTGACACCATCTACAGAATACAATTAAAATCATGACAATTTCGTATCATGATTTGAACAAATGAAGAAGAGCCCACTCCCAAAAAATAAAAACACAAAAAACCCTCAAAAAACAAAACAAAACAAAACAAAACAAAAAACTGGTTAACGGGGGGGTGGGGGGGGAGAAATAAAATACAACTAACGACTAATAGTTAGTAGCAGTCAATGAAGGAAATTGGAAAATAATGAATAGATTTCATATACAGAATTTTGAACAGTCAGTGCAGTTATCAGTATCTGACTGCTATTAAGCATTAGTATTCTCTCAGATGCAAGCATTAAAGCAGCTATTAATGATGGATGTGATTATTAATAACTGATGATTAACAGAAATGGAATCTAAAGAAATTTGAATTCCTACAAACAATTTCGTTTGACATAAACTCTGGGCCAAACAAAGTTTCTTTTGTTCAATAAATGTTTATTGCTTTTTCAATTATTCTATTTACAAACAACATGGAGTTTCTTGGCCTCATGATACAAAGCAATACTGTACTCTAGCAGTGTAGGCAACATCATGGGAACTAGGAAAAGGCCAGGCCTTTTTGCACTGGCCAACACTTTCCAGTTGAAAATACTATTTTACACATATAGAACACTTATAAAATGTACTTGCATGTAAACACTGTAAAATCCTGCCATTTAAAATTCTATACCTCAAAAGAGCTCTAAGTACATCAAAAAATAGAAGAAATTTCTAATTGATACCAATAAGGCATTTTAAAACTACAAACAGCTTTCTTTATTCAATTTCAAAGCTAATACTCTGCAAATACAATAAAATCTGACATTTCATATACATTCCTGCTTTATATTTTATAGTTTAAAAGAAGCCACCTGTAAATACTATTTTCATTTGCAAAATAACAAAAAAGAACAAAAAACCTTTAAAAATTACAGTAAAACATAAAGTAGTTCTCAAGTGGAAAAGTTACCATTCCCAATGTCCTTGACTTGTTCCTTCCTTAATCAACCCCTGTCACATTCTGCTTAACCAAACTTGGTCCACTTAACAGTAGTATAATTTTTAAGACTCATTCAACAGCTTAATTATTTCTACTATATTCTGAGGTTTAATAGAATTTTCTGTACTGTTGCCACTGTGACTAAGGCAGAGGAGATGTGAATGAAAAGATACTCAGTGCAAAGTTACGATTCTGTGCCACTTTATAACTTAAACTCTGTAGGTGTAAAGTTCAGAGTTTAAATGATCTACATGTTGGCCTGATTTATTACCTTCATCTGATGAAAATGCTTTCTACAGTCTACTACTTAGGACAGTGTACAAATACCACAAAAATACTTCATCTTCAATGTGCCCAAATCTTCCCTGAATTTCTTAAAATGAAGTAGAACTTATTTAAATGAAAAAATGCTGTTCCAAAACGAAAGGAGAAAATAAATATTTAACATGAGACAGTCATACTACTTCACAGGTATTCCAAAACATGGACTATTAAAGCATTTTTGAAATTAAAATTCTGATTAAAATTGTTCAAGTTTCTTGTATAAATTATGTAAGTAATGTTTTTTTGTAAAATCATTACTCAGAAAAATTTCTTATTATGCTTCCTCAAGTGTGGAAAATATAAACAAAGCCAACTACCATTTATATATACCAGTATACCTAGAATATATCCTCTGCCAAGTCATGGCCACCCACAGTACACAGATACGTCAACTGTGAACAAGCACTTGTAGTTCATTACAACTAAAGAGTCAGTTGGCCTTTTATAAGCTTAAAATTCAGTTTTGAAATGTTTATAGTGATGGGTTTATTTTTAGTAAAGAACTAGGTATTTGTCAACCATGTAGTACGCTAAATAATCACATAGAATTACATGGTTATATGTCCAAGAGCTTTTTCCTTCCATCAAATGAGTGTAATAATCTTCTCTTCAAAAGATTTTAAAAAATAAGTAGAAACCTCAAAAATAGAGAAAACAGTAGTATCATAAAATAATTTAAATGAAAGGACTTAGACATTTCCCTTAGACCCAATGAGTGCATATGGTGATAGTAACAAATATAGTTACTTAAAAAAAAAAAAAAAAAAAAAGGCATTTCGGTTTGCTGACATTGTATTTTTGGAATAAAAACAGTGATAGAACTAATCCAAACAGATGTAACTACAAAAATGCCATGCATGGAATGTACGGAGATTTTCCAAACGCAATAAAATCTTCCTCTAACATTTTCAACTATCTGAAAGTTAGCATTAAGGGTATTAAGTCAGTAAATATAGCATAAAAATGGTGAACAATCTCCTGATGAGGGCAGACAAAGGAAAAGAATATTTATCAGAAACAAAATACTTCAAATAATTATTAGACATCAGAAATATGAATAAAGTTCCAAATTATTCACGATATTTTTCATGGAACCCTTTTTCTTTAAGCTGAAAGTGACTTTCCCAAATTGGTGCAGGAAGGGAGTTACCTATGAAGAACTATATTCACAGATAATCACTGAGTTTAAGATTGATTCTGTTCATGGACAGTCACTACACATAATGTACGTAATAGTTAAAAGTCTTCAAGACTCTTTAATTAGGTATGATGCTAAATAAATATCAGTGTGTTTGAAAAGGCATTTTATTTCTGAATGTGGACAACAGTGTCCAGTATTTATCAAGAGTATTCAAGGAACCGTTTGAACCAGATATATCTACAAATGGAGAGAAAATATACTACTTTTTTCCCTACTAAAGACTTAAAGAGTTTTTGACCAATTTAATTACTAGGTAATAAATCTGCCATAATAGATTTTTAAAAAATTGTTTATTACCATGCTGGAGATTCCTGTGATGAAAAACTTAGAAAACAATTCAATGTCAATAAACCGAAAGTACCTTCTGTCAAAAGCATAAATAATTTATGGAAGGGTCCAAGGGCATATATAGGACACAAATTACAAATGTTGAAAAGGAGAAAAATGAAGACTTATTTTCCAGTCACAGGTTAATCAAAAAGGATATCCAAAACAGTTGGATCTCATATACCACAGAAATTCAGAAGATAGTACACCTTCAGATAATATACTTTAGCAGCAAATAATAAAAATCAAAGGGATTCATTTTGGCAAGAATATAAGAGTAAGAGGGAGCTGATTTTCTAATTGATTAAAAAAAAAAACCCACTACATGAAAAATATCTTCACAGTCCTGACTTTGTTGATTTCAGGTAAGTACTTGACATATACACCCTCATCTTTATACAGTGGCTCAAATATTTTATGATAAAGAAAAAATGGAAACTAAATCTTCAATTTTCTCCAAAAGTACACAGGAGGCATATATTCCTTTACTCCTCTCATTAAAGCACCATCCATTCAATTCATTTTGCAATACCAACCCAAAATTTTAGAATAAAAGGAAAGTTTTAGTGAAAATTATTACTGAAAAATAGTTAAGGCAACATAAAAAAATTTAATAGCTCCCCAAGACAACTGATTTATGTTTTAGTAGGAATAAATCATAGTACACAATACTAGAAATTTAATAAGTTAAAATATGAAGGGAGGAAAAAAACCAAAACAAAATAAAACAAAAATCCCAACCCTTAAACCTGTCATCCATTACAAATGAGTTCAGAACAAGAAAGAAAACAGTGTGCAGGTAAGCAGTTACATTTTCCATCAGGTGTGGTGTTGCAAATTTTATGGACACCCAACGTATTTCTTATAAACAAGAACTGCAGAACTAAACTAACCTCGGTCTGCGGTCACAATCCTTTGGTAAGGATGGACACGCATATCGTGCCTTCGAACTTTAGTAGCCACCGCACCTAGTTAAATTGCAATTACCAAGACAAAGTTAGAAAACATACATAAGGGGGGAGGGAAACATTAACAGCAGGTTTATCAAAATGGTTTTCAAATATTCATTTACCACAAAAGTTTAAGAAACATGTTAAGGCACAGTAGTTTTAAAATTAACTGTAATATGTCACATATATGCATCTATTAATAGTGCATTCATTTCAAACATGTTGGCCTTAACCTATCTTATCCATTCATTTACAGTATACAGTATTTCACGAACTTTATTTATTAGATGCAAACATATTTGAGCTTTACTAGTCACATATTCACTGAAGTGCCTTTCTTTCAGCAGGACTAAATAATGCCATGTTTAATACTGATAATTATTTACTAACCTTAAGACCACTTCCAGAGTTTGTTACTTTAAAAAGGTTTAAAAGCAATTCTTAAAGCCTACAGATTGTGGTTTTAAACTCTGAGTCAATAAGTATGAACTGCAATGAATTAGGTGATTAGTAAAGCAAACAGTATAGTACACTTAGCAGTCAGTACACTACTATACACTCTTTTATAAATTACCATTACTTTGTGATATTACAGACTAAACCAAATTAATAACACGATTTTACTTTATATCTATGTGCAAAAAGTGCAAGTAAGCCACTGACTGCTAGGCTAAGCTTTTTCCCCGGAGGCTGCTGAGACTAAGCATTTGTTAAATTCAGATCTGATGAGGGTTCAGTTAAGACCGATCTTGAATTCTTAGCCTTTCGTTGGGAAAGCCATACCTAAAGATAAAAGGAAGGGAATTAAAAATTAGTCATCAATGAAGATTTGATGCTAATACCAATCTCCTCACTACCACCAACACACATGTCTGCATCTGTTTTGAAGGGCAATGCTTATTTTAAGATAATTTAATGTGAGACTTTATATATAGCATGCATGTTATCTGTGTGCAAACTTACTGTAATTCAGCAATTTTAAGTAATTTTGTCAATTCTCCAAGGGGTAAATATCATGTTTTACTGCTTATGTAGAAAAGTGAAAAATAACATTTATCATAATATTCTTTTTCATTTAGGACTCATTACTATTAACCACCATATGTATGTTAATTAAGTGTCTGTATATTTTGCTCTAAATTTTGCCAGCTAATAATTAAGATTTCATAATTAAAAATTTCCCCAAACAAAAGCCATGTTGCTTTACAGTAAGAAAAAAGAGTTGCACAGTAGTGCTTCTTACTTTTTATATGCAGTAAACTGGTCCATCACCCCTTTTTCATTTAGGTAAGTAATTATATACATGTCAAATTCCACATGACAAAACCAGGGAGATCTTGAAAGTCATGAATGGCAGCTTGTGGTTAAGAGCCCCAGCCCAAGAGGAAGTCAAGAGTCCTAACTCCTCAGGAACAGATGCTGTGGGTGCAGCAGAGAGGAGTTCTGGGGGAAAGGAGCATGCATGGGCCATAGGACAGAGTATTAATAGAAAGGAAAATTTAAATAAGGTTACAGGTTACATGTTATTTTAAAAATGCTTCAAGAAATGTGCAACAGAAACAAGCCTCTCCTCAACAGCTCTGTGGTATAGTTCTGATCTATAATTACTTTATACAATGATTTAGATATAAAACATGTACAATAAAATGTATTTGTTCATAAAACAGAAGGCACCTGAGTGCATGCACACACACAGATAACATACAGAGCACTGTGGCTTTCTTTAATTGAACATGTATTTTCAAGTTTAAATCTTAAGTCCAGTTCATTTAAGATTTTAAATTTTTATGAATCAGTATTAATGCTGAGGGGGGAAAAACTTTAAAAGATCCAAGTTCTAAAAGTCAACAGCATGCATGCAGCACCAAGGTCATATACAATTCAGGAAAAAAGTATTCAATTCTGTCTGGTAAAACAAAGGGGTTGCACGGAAACGGTTTGTTCCACATTGACTGGTCGTGTTATAACAGCTGCTGTATTCTAGTCCTTCATCCAGCAAGTCAATGGGCTGAAATATCAGGCATGACTGGCATTTCAATCCACTCTATAAAAAAAAGGTATCAGTAATGTCTTTTTTAAGCACACCACTTTCTGTTTATGTAAAACTAAGCGCTTATAGTATGACCTTAATTTCTGCCTCCAGGGTGACTCCAAAATCACTGACTTAGTGTTTACGTATCTATGCCATACTGTACTACTGAAATTAAAGGAGTATACCTCAAGTTTAATGTTAACTAGAAATTTAAGAGACAAAAACTGAAAATCCTAAAGGATACATCTATTACTTTGGTTCCATTTTAAGTGATTACTTAAAAAAAAACACAATATTACACATTTCTTAAAATTCTCAAAATATTTTCACATAGAAGTTTAAATTTTAGCTGCCAAATAAAATCGGTGAGATGAAAATATAACCGTGGGAAATGGAATTGATGGAGGCCATACAGCAAGGGGTGGGACCTAAAATAAGAAGTCAAGAACAACTGCAGTAATGTTAAAAGCAGAAAATATTTCTTTTTCAGAATTTACATAATAAATTCCTCAACCAAAGTGAATTTGAGTTACCAAATGAATCTAAACAAAACTAAGGAGTAGTTATTTAACAGGGGAACTATTAAACTAAAATAAAGTTTGCAGTTTTTCCTAATAGAAACTTATTTTTCCTCCTTAAAATTGATAAAATCACTTCAAAAGTTTGGGGCAGCAAATTGATAAAGAATGTTATTAACCAGTTATAGAGAAGAACTTACCTAATACACCACTGGGTTCAATAGGGTACTCAAGGATCGATGTAGCTGGTGCCAACGTGTAGGGGTATTCATAGGGCGTGTAGATTAACCCAGCCTCGGGCCCTGGAGGGACTATTGCAGCAGTGGGGTGAGGAGTTCCGTTTGGCATGACAGCGGTCTGTATTTGTCTGATCAAAGGCATTATGGTAGGACCAGCTGGCGTAGGAGTACGAAGGGCAGCTGGAGGAAGGACAGGTGCAGGCCCAGTAATGATCCTTGGGGCAGCCTGGGCTGTTGCTGCAAGAGAAAAGGCAAGGGCTGCTACAGTAAGCAAAGAAATTTAGAAAGAAGTACAGGGACAGCAGTATAAAATATGGGAAAATGAGAGGGGAGTAGGAAAAAGAAAGGAAAAGCAAGAAAGAAGAAAAATAAAAGGAAATCATTAGTACATGCATGGATCATACAAAAGTGTCAAAGCACACCAATCATATGCAATCAGCTTTCCCTTTCTCAACGTGATTAAAATGTGTAAAAATTCAAAAGCCACTGTTAAACAAAAACAAAAAAAGACTGTTAAAATGTATTTATTCACATATTTGATAGTTGTCTTTTAAGATTTCATGAGACTAAAGGTGCATGCAGAAGCACAAAAATATGTTTGCATTTAAAAAGTGTTACTGAAAAAATGTATAACTGGAGTCCACAGAAACACAGTTTTTGGTGTATTTTCAAAGTGAAACTTCAGTTTTAAATCGAAGAAAAAATAATTTTTGTTCTATGAAGTTAGGCAAGTAAACATTAGGTATATATATATTACCTAAATCTTTATGGAGTCTTATTTCTAAATTCATAATTAAAAATGACATGCGCTCTCAACCATTTATAAAGCAATTATTTTTAAACCCACTGTATTGTCTACATTTTTGAAAGGTAAAACTTTTAAACTGTATTTTTAAATTAGTACTTTAAATATGCTACTATGTTCACATAAATGTTAAGTGAACCTTAAGTTGTCTCAAAATGTAAGTTTCACATTGTTTCATATTACATATACAAAGCAATCATTTGTAATTTATAAAAGCATGCACACGTCTCTTAAAAAGAAAATGCGGACTGAAAATAGTTACTACCCACTGATCTCTGTGAACTCACATATGAACTCAACAGGGTAAAAATACTGGAGGGGAAACATGCAAGCAAAAAAGAACTCAACTGAAGGGTCATTTCATTGAGATATACTTTAAATGACTTATTAAAAAAAAAGCTTTCAAAATTTTGTCTTTTGGTTAAAATGTAACAACATGAGCTGAAAGCTTTAAATTCTTGAAATTCTTAAATTTAGAGGCTGAAATTTCATTTGAAGAATAATACCCTAAATAAGTATCAAGAGAGAGTTTTAATTAATGGAAGCATCAAAAACTGGACGGTTGGTCCCATAGTGACACATTTACTCTAATTGTTTACATGTTATGCTGCCAAAAGGAGAGAGGCTTTAGATAAAATAGCTTAGACAACAGCACCCTGGCTGGGGTCAGTTCTCATTCTTACGTGATTTAATGTTGGCATCTCTGTAAGTGCCGTTCAGAATTGCGAGTTCCATTAGCTGCATCTTCTTTAGGCTGTCTTCTCCTTCTGCCTGCACACAGAAAACACAAGAAGAATAAGCATTTGAGATTGTCCCTATACCTCATAGTTAGGTCTACATACAAGCCTTAAATAAATACCACGTGACTACAGCCACCTGTTTCAATCAGAAAAATAAGATTAGGAACTGAAAGGTGCTGACATACTGAAGGCTATTTTTTCAGTGATGACATGCTCTAAATGGTCTCTGGCCACAATTCTGTTTGAACAAGTTTTAATATATGCTACACTGATTTAAAATTCTCCTAAAAAAAAAAAAAGCTTTGTACTGTTTTAATATCCCAAAACTCAGATGAGTTCAACAAAAGAAATAAAAAATGCAATTTATTAAGAACTTAATGAACAGAAGGTATAGAAGCCTATTATACAAGATTTTTAATGTGGTACTCAGGTAAGACAATTTTCTTATTAATTCTACAAAAGGAAAATTTAGATTAATTGCAATTATAAAAGTTCTAAAAACATATATTCTACTCTTTATGGTCCCTGTCACCTATCAATCTGATAGGCAAGTGTTATTAATTCTACCATACTCTACCTCTAGGGCCACCATATGATACACTGTCCAAACCAAGAAACATTAAAAGCAAAAAGGAGCACTAATAGTATCTATGCCACTAAGAAAGAACTACAAACATCTCTGATAATGAGAATGTCTGGCCAAACTGATTTACCTTTGATTCATCCTAATCCTTCATGAATGATCCTTAACTTGTTTGAGACATTATAGATACAGTACCCAAACTACTGAACTATTGTTAATGATGACTGTTAATCTATATATAATCTATATACTCAACTTGTATCTAATAGTCAGATTTACTATTTAAATTTGTGTCCCTAACACAAATTTTATCTTAAGATTTTCAACATTCTCATGTCTTAAAATCCTCTCAATGTTGTTACTATCAAAACCAGAAAAGATATAAACTACCTATCATCTGAGCCTAAACTACCATCTTAAATCAACTAATTTTTCACTATTTTACATATATTCTTTAGCATTAAAAATCAAGATTAAAAAAAAGAAGAAAAACAAACAAGGGCTAGTGAGAGAGCTGGCCACCGAGACCAGGCACACCTGTAACCCTAGCACCTGGGAGGCTGAAAACAGGAAGATCAATATGAGTCCAAGCTGCATAGTGAGACCCTGTACCAAATACATTAAAAAAAGAAAATCAGAAAAAAAAATAAAAAAAAAATGAAGTTAAGATCCTTCCTTGTTACTAGTCTGTGCATCTCATTTCTTCCACTGCCAATGTTCCTTTATTGGTTGGTCAACCTACCCATTTCTCTTTCCAAATCCTACCTATTCCACAGACTCCAAAATGCTACCTTTGTGGGGCTGCCACTAGGTTATATAGCTTCTGTCTTGAATTACAAAGTTTTTGAATATCACCATTTCCAAAGTGAGCTCCAAGAAGACAAAGCCTATTTCTTGTTTATTAATGTCTCAACCCAATAGGATAAGCTTGAATCAGCCACAGTAAAAGGAAGTAGCAGCTGCAAACCCACTTTTGAAGTCAACCTGAAGATGACTGTAGGGTTGAAACAGTATTCCCACTTCAATGCATTATACAGTCAGTCATCAGGATTTAATATTTTTTAAGACTGATTGATTTGGTATAGGGTCTCACTACACAGCTCAGACTCATAGTGATCTTCTGTCTAAGCCTCCCCAGCACTGGGATGATGGGTGTGTGCCAGCGTGCCCAGTTTCGGTGGCTGGCTCAGCAAGCCCAGGGTTTTGAGGCCAGTGTGGCATGCGGTACTGGGGATTGAACCTGGGTCCTTGTACTTGCCAGGCAGGCGCTCAGACCACTGAGCCCCAGCCTCAGATCTAATATTTAAAAAGAAAAATGAATCAATGATACATTACACTGACATAATACTATTTCTCTGATTCCGAAAGAGGGCAGATCTATAAGTGCAATTGTAATGGTGTAACAATCTTAGGCATCACAGCAGTGAATGGTGTGCTGTAGTACAAAGTAAACAGAACTGCTGGGTGGACTTTTAATAAATCACAGATAATTAATGAAAAGCATGAATAAAAACATGAAGATTAACATTTAATGTACCATTGATAATTTTTTTTAAAAAACCTACTCTACAACAGAATATGGGAAAAAGTATTGTGGAATTGCTATTCCTTGACTCCCATTAGCTTGTGCAAAGATCAATAAAAAAGCATGACTTTTTTGAAAAACAAATTACTGGATAAAAATAAGAAAACCATAACTAGAAAAAAAAAACTTCAAAATCTATTATGACAAAATGAACTTTTAAAAAATGTGCAACAAAACTATTAAATTTAAATTTAAATTAAGGTTCAAAATTGAGTATGAGACCAAAAAGTAATACTGAAAGTATTATATATTATACTCTACATGAAGGAAATAGCATGCACACTGCTTTCAAACTTGAGAATGTCAGAAAAAAAGTTGAAAACAAAGACGAGGGAAAAAAAAGTTTCAAAGAACAGGCAACTGAAACCATGTTTGAAATCAGCTGCTTCTTTTGGATATGAAGCACTCATTAGGTGATGATGATATAATGCCAAATATGGGAGAAAACCAGAGAAAGTTGATGGCAGAAATGAATGTGTGCATACCAGTTTCTGTACATGCACACATCTTCGCAAGACCTGAAAATGGAGCAAAGATCACCAAAAGAGGAAAATAAAATCAGAGTAGCAAAGTCTTCACTGAAAGTACTGGTGCTACTAACCACAATGGTATCATCGGCTGAAGTTGATAATAGATTATGTATGCTGGGCTGGGGCACATTATGGCAGGCTAAATTAATGTCTCCCCAGAAAGCTTGTTTAGTTCGGTGGCACTCAAATTTCAGCAGACTGTCTTTCTGGAGGTGAGCCTCACCCTCCCGTATGTAAGTATACTTCTATCACTCTTAACATTCTTAGTATTTTTACCAGTCTTAACCACTCTTATGACACTTTCTCCACTCTTACACATAGAGCATGATGTGTCTCATGAAAAACAAACTTCACTACAGTATTATTTTCACATGGAAGAGATTATTTTAACTTGTTATTGTTGGGGCAGAAAATTGGCATAGGAACTTGCATAAATCCCACTAAAGGTATACTGTCATACTTTTTTCAAACCTAGGTGGGGAGAAAGCTCAGTGGCATAAGCGCCTGACTGGCAAGTGCAAGGTCCTGAGTTTGATTCCCAGCACAACCAACCAACCAACCAACCAACCAACCAACCAACCACATTTCCCCTTAAACTCTTAATTCTTGTCCTTTTGAGTGTGCTGTACTTGAGCTTCAAGCCAGTATGTCTGTTCTAAAGGGTAGGTAAGCAGGCAGTAATTCTTGAGATTGAGCCCCGTACCCTTGGATATGTTAATAAGCAAGTGCTCTGCCACTAAGCTATATACCCAGACATTTATTTTATATTTTAATTTTGGACAAGATCTCATCAAGTTATATAGTATGGCTCTTTTTTTTCTAGTCAAATGGCTCTGTGGCTTCTACTAGTCAGCAATTATAGCACCTTTGTATTGCTTTGGAGATAGGGTCTTGCTGTGTAGTTAAGGCTTATCTTGAACTCACTATGTATATCTAGCCTGTCCTCAAACTCACTGCTATACTCCTGTCAGGGTCTCCTATATGCTGGGATGTATCACTATGCCTGGCTTTTTTTTTTTTTTTTAATAATCCACTTATAAATTTACTGTGAATATTACAAGATAAGATGAAGGTAACAAGTACCTGATTCAATAAATAATGATGACATTGTATATATAATCATTTTTTTAGGTATCTTAGTTTCACAATTTTTTTCTTTTTCTTTTTTTAAACTTACTGAATATTTATCATGTATTACACATTGCTTCAAATATTTTACTCACAGTAGACTTATATATCAAATATAACATCCTAATTTCTAGATATTAAAACTGAAACTCAGAGATATTAAATAATGTCCTTTAGGTTGCTAGGAAGTAGCACAATAAATGTCCTTGGCCGAACATGCCCTCTTCTAGAACATTTATGGATGGTTATTTCATAGCAAGTTGCTTTTTAACTTTTCTAAGATTCTGCTCTGTAAGAATAAAGCCTGATGACTCAGGAAATTAGATTATGGAAGGGTAACTAACACACGGATTCAGACAGTGAAAAGCAGATTAAATACATACTTAACATATTACTAGCATGAGTTACATTATTTTAATTTTCTCCAAGTAACATATATGAAAATTGTTAACAGAAATAATATTTTAAAATTGGAGTACATAGACGAGTGTTAGAATACAGTTGGATGATCTACATAACCTGATTCTATTTTTTATTTTCTTTTAATTTTTAAATTTTTTTTCCCATAATTTTATTGAGAAACAAATAGCAATGAGACAGTTTCAAATCAAATTGGTAGGACAGTTTCAATAATCAACACACTGCATATATTCTCCCTAGCGGTTAATTGCTGTACAAGATGCGGACATGAAATCCTATTTACAAACACTATTAGAACAAATCCCTCTATTCATTAAGAGAATGTAACTATATATCTATCCTAACCACTTTGAATACACAGATACAAAATGGACATTCATCTGTATCCCCTGTTTTTGTTATATTCCGTTATTTGAATATTGTAGGTGTGTAAACTCAGCAAAACATTCTAAAAGAGTCCAGTAGCCCATAATAGTAATGGGTCTTCCGCTTCACTAGCAATGTCAGAAATTGTTGGCCTGAGTCCCCTACAGCTCAACATAACAGCATGGCTTTACTTCTTATATTTCGTTATTTCGTTTTTATACTTTTCTGCTGGATGGTTAAGACCAAGGTAAAGCAGGACCTATGCAACAAGAGTTGTAGCTTTTGGGTCTGAGAAGGTCAGTGAAATCCCCTCAGGATTTATCCTGAGATCCTGTACCTCAGATTGTAGAACCTTTGTCAATGTCAGACATATGGATGAGTCACGGCCATTGTGTGGCCAATGTGCTCTCTATGAAAGC